CCATCTCACAGTGGGTCCAGTGGTCCCTGAACCCATCCTGTAGTGATTTCCCCAGTTCCAGAATTCATAATTGGAGTATACTTAACAACTGGCAGAATCCCCACAGTGGATCCCTGACAAACAGAATAAGGGCTATTATGGTAGAAAAAGCCACATGGAAGCCATTAGAACTGCCCCTACCTAGGAAAATAGGAAACCAAAAGCAATACCACAGTCCTGAAGGGACTGCAGAGATTACTGCCACCACCAAGGACTTGAAGGATGCAGGGGTGGTGATTCCCACCACATCCCCATTCAACTCATCTATTTGGTCTGTGCAAAAGAAACAGATGGATCTTGGAGAATGACAGTGGATTATCGAAAACAACCAGGTGGTGACTCCAATTGCAGCTTCTGTTCCAGATGTGGTTTCATTGCTTGAGCAAATTAATACATCTCCTGGTACCTGGTATGCAACTGTCGATCTGGTTAATGCCTTTTTGTCTATACCTGTTTCAAAGGACCACCAGAAGCAGTATGCCTTCAACTGGCAAAGCTAGCAATATACCTTCACTGTCCTACCTCAGAAGTATATCAACTCTCCAGCCTTATGTCATAATTTAGTCCACAGGGATCTTGATCGTCTTTCCCTTCCACAAGACATTACACAGGTCCATTACATTGATGACATTATGCTGACTGGACCTAGTAAGGAGGAACTGTCAATGACTCTGGACTTATTGGTAAAACATTTGTGTGCTAACCAAACAACCAAACCCATTGCCATGGGGTTGATTCTGACTCATAGTGACCCTCTAGGACAGATTAGAACTTCTCCATAGGGCTTCCAAGGAGCAGCTGGTGGATTCGAACTGCCAGCCTTTAGGTTAGCAGCAGTTGCTCAATGTAACCACTGTGCCAAAAGGGCTCTGTTTGTGTGCTAGAGGGTGAGAAATTACTCCAACAAAAATTCAGGTGCCTTCCACCTCAGTGAAATTTCTAGCGGTCCAGTGGTATGGGGCATGTTAAAATATTCCTTCTAAAGTAAAGGATAAGTTATTGCATCTGGCCCCTCTCACAACTAAAAAGGAGCCGCAAGGCCTGGTGGGCCTCTTTGGATTTTGGAGGCAACATATCCTTCATTTGAGTGTGTTACTCCAGCCCATTTATCAAGTGACTTAAAAAGCTGCTAGTTTTGAGTGGGGGCCCAGACCAAAAGAAGGCTATGCAACAGGTTCAATCTGCCGTACAAACCACTCTGCCACCTAGGCCATATGATTTAGTGGATCCAGTGGTGCTCGAAGTGTCAGTGGCAGATAGAGATGCTCTTTGGAGTCTCTGGCAGGCCCCTATTGGTGAAACACAGCACAAACCCTTAGAATTTTGGAGCAAAGCCCTGCCATCCTCTGCAGATAACTACTCTCCTTTTGAGGAACAGCTTTTGGCTTGTTACTGGGCCTTAGTAGAGACTAGACACTTAACCATGGGCAACCAAGTCACCATGCAGACTGAGCTGCCCATCATGAACTTGGTGTTGTCTGACCCACAGAGCCATAAAGTTGGACATGAACAGCAGCACTCCATCATTAAATGGAAGTGGTATATATGAGATTGGGCCCAACCAGGACCTGAAGGCAGAAGTTAGTTGCATGAGGAAGTGGCCCAAATGCCCATGGTCTCCATTCCTGGCACATTATCTGTCCTTTCCCAGTCTGCAGCCATGGCCTCATGGGAAGCTCCTTATGATCAGTTGACTAAGAGAAAACTCGTGCCTGATTTACAGATGGCTCTGTGTGATATGCAGGCAATACTTGAAAGTGGACAGCGGCAGCACTACAGCCCCTTTCTGGGACCACTGTGAAGGACAGTGGTGAAGGGAAATCCTCCCAATGGGCAGAATTTTGAACAATGCACCTGGTTGTTCACTTTGCCTATCAGGAGAAATGGCCAGATGTGCGACTGTATATTGATTCACGGGCTGTGGCCAATGGTTTGGCTGGATGGTCAGGGACTTGCAAGGAACATGATTGGAAAATTGGTGTCAAGGAAGTATGGGGAAGAGGTATGCTGATAGACTTCTTTGAATGGCCCAAAGAAATGAAGATATTTGTGTCTCATGTGAATGCTCACCAAAGGCTGACCTCAGCAGAGGAGGATTTTATCAGTCAAGTGGATAGGATGATGTGTTCTGGGGAAATCAGTCATATTCTTTCCCCAGCCACTCCTGTCATTACCAAATGGGCTCATGAACAAAGTGGCCATGGTGACAAGGATGGAGGTTATGCATAGGCTCAGCAACATGGACTTCCACTCACTGACTTGGCTATAGTCTCTGCTGAGTGCCCAATCTGCCAGCAGAAGAGATCAACGCTGAGTCACCAAAATGGGACCATTCCACAAGGTGATCAGTCAGCAACCTGGTGGCAGGTTGATTACATTGGACCACTTCCATCATGGAAAGGGCAGCGTTTTGTTCTTACTGGAATAGACATTTATACTGGATATGGTTTTGCATTCCCTACACACAATACTTCTGCCAAAACTACTATCCATGGACTTACAGAATGCCTTATCCACCATCATGGTATCCTACACACCATTGCCTCAGATAAAGGGACATACTTCACAGAAAATGAAGTGTGGTAATGGGCCCATACTCATGGAATTCACTGGTCTTACCATGTTCCCCATTGTCTTAGTTATCTAGCAGTATTATAACAGAAATACCACAAGTGGATGGCTTCAACAAACAGAAATTTATTTTCTCTCCGTTTCGGAGGCCAGAAGTCTGAATTCAGGGAGCCAGCTCCAAGGGAATGCCTTCCCCTTGTCGGTTCTGGGGGAAGGTCCTTGTCATCGATCTTCCCCTGGTCTAGGAGTTTCTCAGTGCAGGGACCCTGGGTCCAAAGGACGTGCTCTCTCCTGGCTCATTTCTTGGCGTCACGAGGCCCCTCTGTGTCTCTGTTTGCTTCTTTTATATCTCAAGAGACAGACTCAAGATACAACCTAATCTTGTAGACTGAGTCCTGCCTCATTAACCTGCCTCTAATCCTCCCTCATTAACATCATAGAGGTAGGATTTACAACACATAGGAAAATCGTATCAGATCACAAAATGGTGGGCAATCACACAATAATGGGAATCATGACCTAGCCAAGTTGACACACATTGTGGGACACAATTCAATCCATAACATGCATCATCCTCTTGCAGCTGGCTTGACACAACAGTGGAATAGCCTTCTAAATACACAGCTGTGGCACTAGCTAGGTGGCAATACTTGCAGGGTTGGGGCAGTGTTCTCCAGGGGGCTGTCTATGCTCTAAACTGGCATTAAATATATGGTGCTCCTTCTCCTATAGCCAGGATTCATGGGTCCAGGAATCGGAGTGGAAATGGGGGTGGCGCCACTCACTATTACCTGTAGTCACCCACTCTACAAAATTTTTTCTTCCTGTCCCTGTGACCCTATGCTCTATGGGTCTAGAGGTCTTAGTTCCAAAGGCAGGAATGCTCCCACCAGGAGACACAACACTGATTCCACTAAATTGGAAGTTAAGAATGCCACCCGCCCACTTTGGGCTCATCATGCCTCTGGATCAACAGTCAAAGATTGAAATTACTGTATTGGCTGGTGTGTTTGATCCTGACTACCAAGGGGAAAACCAGATTGATATTACATAATGGAGGTAAAGAAGAGTATGTCTGGAATACAAGAGACCCCTTAGGACATCTCTTAGTACTACCATGCCCTGTGATTAAAGTCAATGGCAAACTACAGCAACCCAATTCCAACATGACTACTAATGGTCCAGACTCTTCAAGAATGAAGGTTTTGGTCACCCCACCAGGCAAAGAACCACAACCAGCTGAGGTGCTTGCTGAGAGTAAAGGGAATACAGAATGGGTGGTGGAAGAAGGTAGCTCTAAATGCCAGCTACACCCACGTGACCAGTTGTAGAAATGAGGACGGTAATTGTTATTTCTTCCTTGTATATATGCCTCAAATATTTTTATTTTCTTCACTTATAAAATATAAGATATAAATAGGGCTAGTGCATTTTTGGTTATACGCATGTTAGCTGTATCATGTTAGGTGCAAATATGACTTTATAACTGTCTTTATTTAGAGATTGTGTATGGTTTGGGAAGATGTGTATGGTGCCAACTTGACAAGGAGTGGATTGTGATGGTTAAGGTTGTGTGCCAACTTAGCTGGGCCATGATTCTCAGTGGTCAGGCAATTATGATGTAGTTTGAAAGCTATGTAATGATGTAATCACCTCCATAATGAGATCTGATATAATGCAATCACCTCCATAATGAAATCTGTTGTAAGCAGCCAGTCAGCTGAAAGGGAGTTTCCCTAGGGGTATGGCCTGCATCCAATAGAGGTGGACTTTCTGGCAAAGCTCACTGGCTTTTGCTTGCTCTGGATCCTGCAGATGCCTCCTGTTCATCTGGCCTATGGTGCTTGGGACCTGAGCTAGCAGCTTACCTGCTGATCCTGGGCTTCGTCAGCCTCCGCAGCCTGTGAGCCAGCGGCCTGCCATCTTGTCGATCTTGGGATTCATTGGTCTCCACATCTGTGAGCCAGAGGCCTGCTGTCTGCCCTGTTGATCTTGGATTCACCAGCCCCTGCACCTACGTGAGTTAGGAGAAGCCTCCAGCCTGGCCCACAGACGTGGGACTTTCCAGCCTCTACAACCATGTAAGCCATTTCCTTGATATAAATTTCTGTCTATATATATTTACATGCTTCACTGGTTTTGCATCTCTACAGAACCCAGCTTAAGACACTAGCCCTCTCTCTCCTCTGAACTCCTAGAGCTCATGTTATCTTTATAACTTATATTGGTTATAATCATTCACAATCTTATATGTTTAATAACTGTTCACTTGTCTTATCTCTCTCTCTCAATTTGATTGCAAGTATTTTGATGGTGCTCAATATCTGCTATGAATTTATTCACCTCAGAAGCAAAATCAAAGTGCAAAAAAATTGATAAACCATTGTAACTGCTTTAATGTTAAAAATATTTATTTTTTTCTAAAAGATCACACAAAAGTTGGGAAGAGATGGAAGGATGTCAACTAGCCTACATCAAAATTTGGGCTGAGGAAGGACAAAGAGCTGCCTAAAGAAACTGGTATCCGAGCAAACTGCACAGATCAAAATGGCTGCTGGCCAACAGAACCACAGTCTGGGTCAGCCACATTCATGAGCACCACTGGGGTGCAGCAGGGACAGCAAAGTTGCCAGTCCCAATCATTCCTCCTTTTCAGTGAGGGAAAAGCAGAAGCTCATTCCTTAGACATGTTCTTGATGGTTTTGTGCTCCTTTATGGCCTTCTCCCAGTCGCTGCCATTGAACTCCTCAATGGCCACACTCCGCACAGTGCCCTCATCCAGGCAATGCGGGGCGATTCCTAGAGAGAAGTGGCACAGAGAAAGGGGGGACCCAAATGAAACCGGATACTCCACTGGCTCGCAGACAAACCCTCACCTGCAAGCATCATTCTACTACATATCAGGCGTTCGAAGTTATACACTATATCTTACAACTTAAGCTTTCTGGCTTACTTTCCCCATCTGCCAGATGGGGATAAGACTTCTTGAGTCAGGGATGGCCAAGGCTAGATATCATTCAATGACAAGCTGTAATGCAGTAGTAGGTAGTAGTAGGAGTAGCAATATGGAATACAGGTTCCAGCTAAGAGCAATCTCTGATAGGCAGCCTTAAGAATTCACAGGTTACGAATTAGATAAATAAATAATTCTGTGTTTGGATAAATAACTTCCTAAGAATTAAATACCTCCCTATTTGCACAGGATTTTATTCTTTTCATAACCCTTTCCTGTTCCACAGGTAGGCACATAAGGAACAAACAGAAGCTGCTAAAAAAAAAATGGGGAGGCAAGAGACAAGGGTGATCGCATACCCTCCCCCACCATAAGGCGTAACACAGTCGTAGTCACAGCTGCGTCACCACAGCCCTAGAGGATACATTTACACAGGGAACAAGATTCCTCAGGAACATCTTCAACCACTAGCTTCCACTCAATTTGCACAGCAATTCTGAACACTTAACTAAGGTTGGTCTGTGTTTTGTTTTTCCAGATTAAAGCAGGACCTGAAGAGGGGCTTGGAGGTTCTGCTTGTTTTTTGAACAAAACTATTTCTTTTTAATGGCATTATCAATACTCCTCATTCTTGCTTTGTTCGCTCCCCCTTAACCGCAGGCATTATTAAAATTGCCTCCCTCAGCCCCACAGGCCCATCTCCCACCCCTACTCTCTACCCTTCAATGTCCTCCACAGTGACATATAGCTCTGGTAGCACCAGTGAGAATCAGGACGTGGATGTTCTCCTGCATAATTTTTACCATATTCAGATGTGAGACTGAGACAACCTTGACTGGAGCCAGTCTCACATTCTATCATTTGGATATAGCTCTGCTGATGAGTCCTGTTCATCTAAAACATGCATATGAAGTGCCTAGCAGAGCAGCAGGCTTGCCATACATGTCTGTTCCCATTCTGCCAACCAGCATTTTAAGCCTAGTGCAGCTGCAGAGCCTCTCTGTCCTTGTCTGACCTAGGCTGGGGTCTGTTACCTTTACTCACCATAGCCTCCAGGATTTGAGCGGGGAGTATAGAAGCTCTGAACACCACATCTCTTACAGAAGGTGTGCTGGGCTTTGTGTGTGTTGAACGTGTATGTGGTCATGCTCTCAGCGCCCTAAGTAAAAACAGACAAATAAGTATTCTCTTTTTACTAAGAATTTTTTTTATAAGTCATTTAAAAAAAAAACAAAAAACACTAACATGTTTGTTTTAGTCACCTAGTGCTGCTGTAACAGCAATACCACAAGTGGATGGCTTCAACAAACAGAAGTTTATTCTCTCACAGTCTAGTAGGCTAGAAGCCAAATTCAGGGCATCAGCTCCAGGGGAAGGCTTTCTCTGCCAGCTCTGGAGGAAGGTCTGTGTCATCAATCTTCCCCTGGACTAGGAGAATCTCGGCACAGGAACCTCTCAGGTCCAAAGGACATGCTCTGCTCCCGGCATTGCTTTCTTGGTGGTATGAGGTTCCCCTGTCTCTCTGCTAGCTTCTCTCTTTTATATCTCAAAAGGGATTGGCTCAATGCACAATCCAATCTTGTAGATTTGAGTCCTGTCTCATTAACATAACTGCCACCTATCCCACCTCATTAACATCATAGAGGTAGGATTTAGAACACATAGCAAAATCACATCAGATGACAAAATGGTGGACAATCACACAATACTGGGAATTTGGCCTAGCCAAACTGATACATATATTTTTTGGGGACACAATTCAATCCATGACACTTTTGAAAGGCTTACTGTTAGGGAGCCATCCTCCTTTCATAGGGCTCTCAGTATTATAAGGACAAATTCTATCTCCCATAAAAGGTTGGAAGCTTTTTGAGGACAGGGACTATCTATACTGTCCAGAGACAAGCCAACCTTCCATATAACAGCTCATGGCTTCCCTTAGGTCAACTGCACAGAGAACAACTTGAGCTCTCCCTGGCCCATGGCAAGACAGCACACCCTGTCAATGTTGGGGAGTGAAAATGCGTGCCTCACGGGGCCTAAATGGGATGACAGCCCACCCTGTCAGTGTCGTGGAGTGAAAATGCATGCCTCACAGGGCCTAAATGAGAAGACAGAACACCCTGTCAGTGTTGGGGAGTGAAACAATGTGACTCACAGGGCCTCAGTGGGAAGACAGCCCACCCTAAGCACTGGCTCTTCATGTCCCCAAACAGTACTGCTCAAGGCCTTAAAAAAAAAGCTGACTCTACCTGAGTTAATCTACAAAGGACAAACTAGGGTAAAAAATATTTGCCACACAGGCAAATGGCTAATTTCCTTAGTAAATAATACAGATAGGAAAATGGGCAAAGGACATGAACAAATGAAAAAAATAAGATGCGTCACATCGTAACTTACCATATGCATTACTAGAAGTCAACCAATGACATCCAGACCCTCATTCCCATACTAGTCTATGCATCCACCGTCTGACCCCACTTCCCCTACTCTCCACTAGAATATATGGTCTATCATCATCAAGGAGCCCTGGTGGCACAGAGATTAGAGCTTGGCTACTAACCAAAAGGTTGGTAGTTCAAATATACCAGCCGCTCCTTGAAAACCCTATGGGGCAGGGCAACATGGCGCTATAGACAAGCACCACACCGTCCCTCCAAGCAAAGATTCAAAAAACTAAGTCAAGCAGAGTTACACGTCAATCCTGAAACCCTAAGCATCAAATGAAGAGATAAAGAACTCAGCCAAGCACCAAATTGAATAAGAAACTGACCGAGAACAGAGAGCGAGGAGAGATACATGCAGAGGTCCCCTATCAGCTATCATAGCACAGATCCGTCATCCTGGACTCCTATCGGAGATCAGCGAACAGAGGGTACCAGAAAGCAGCTTCATGGTGCTTCCAGCAGGAGACAGAACAACTGGTAACCAGCGATATATGCTTTCCCACCCCCCACCCTTCCTCACCCTGACTCAGCCTCCTCTGCTTCCTGTGGTCACAGTCTCTCTGTTGGGAAGCACCAGCTTTGCCCCAGTGTCACTTGGATTCCACCCACCCGCACTGGCTGGCTCCCTGAATGCCATCTGTTGGCTGCTGGTGTTGCTCTTTTTCCACTTCTTTAGATTTCTTCCTTACCTCTCACCACCTCCCCCTCATTCCTCTCAAATACCTGGCTCTGTGCGACATCTTTGCTTCTTCCTGAAAGGCTGTGAAACACGACTTGACTGTGAAACTGCTTCCTGGCCCATACCGCCATGCTGATGGGACCCTTGAGGCTTTTTTGGTTTGTTCTGTTTTGATTTGTTTTCTTTTCCTTTTCTCAGCTTGAGAGCCACTTCTAGCCGGGCAGTAGCACGTGGCTTGGGAGCTACTCCCTTATTCTGCACAGATGCACAGTGACATCCTGGGGAAATTTCTTTTCTTGGTTTTCTTGTTTGTTTTTGTTTCTTTGTTTTGTTATCTTCTCTTTTTCTCTTTTTGTCTTTCTTCATGTCCAGTATCTCACCTCTCTATACTGACCCTCTCTTCTTGTCTCCTAAATACCTGGCACTGTGTGACACCTCTACCCCTTCTAGCCAGGCTGTACTTCACAGTCTGGGAATAACTTCCTCAGTCCTAGCAGCCACACTGGTATGATCCCTGGGGGCTTTTCTTTTTTTGCTCTAATATTTAATTATTCATTTTTTTCTTTTACTTTTTTATTTTCCATCCATTTCTCCATCTCTCATCTCTCCATTCCAACAGCAAGCTCCCTTAGCACTCTTTTTTGTTTGTTTGTTTCTATGTTTTTGGCTCCTGTTTCTCCCTCCTCTCTCTCCTCTTTCACATACCCACCTTACCTCCACATATCACAATCTCCTTCCTCCCTTCTGCCTACCTGCACCACACGCTGAACATCACACTCCCAAGCAGCACTGGCACAGCCTACCAGAACCTGCCCAGCACTGATTCCCAGTGAGCCCTGTTGGCCCTAGTACATGCCACAAACAACCCATCCCAGCAACTCTCCTTCAGCTGGACCTGCCCTGCTGTACCATACCTGAGTGACTGACACTGCCCATTGGAGAAGGAGGTGAAAAGTATCGTGCCCACAGACGAGCAAACAAAAAACGCACAGCCTGCCTGCTCAGACATAGCCAAATAAAACAAAAAAGCAAGATGAAACAAACAAATCTACAATCAGTAAATGACGAAAATAACTACTGAATGCCCAGAAGACAGATAATAACAAAACATATATAAAAACAGGACAGGATGGTCCCAGTAGGCATTGAAAATAAAACACCAGATGACTTTCCAGCAGAAGAAAAGGCACTAGAACTACCTGATAGGGAATTCAAATCTCTAATATTCAGAGCTATCCAAGAGTTGAAGCAAAAAGCAGACAA